AAAAGATATTACGGTTTCTGACTTTTACTTGCACTTGCATGCAATGCTTCAATCCATATTCACATTTTGGCATTCACTCTAGAGTATTATTTCAGGAACCAACACTAACATTAAAAAAATTGCATATTCCCGAATATTCTCAAGTGAAAACCTGTTTACCAAATGATTGAAGCATGTCCTAAACTTTTCTGGTCAACAGAATACAAAATTTACTCTATCTCACCTAGGGATCCAATCTTAAAACTGTGTGCAAATTATCTAAATCATTATAATGTTGACATTGTAACATCAGTAATTTCATACTAAATGGCACATTTTAAAAATTATTTGTAAAAATATGATTAAACACTATCTACACTGGTGTGCAAAACTTAAGCAACAATGTAAATTTTAATCAGATAGCCATAAATTGCAGAAAAGGGGTTCTTTCGATCAGTACAATCAATACGCAATTTAGTAGAACGGTCATGCGTATGCAAATGTCAGGAACAAAACGTCACAGGCTACGTGAGTGTACACAAAATACGTGCAGTCGGCGCACTCAACTCGAGACTACAACAAAAGGAAGGACGGAAATGCAATTAAAGACATTCGAGCAAGCGCATTGTTCTTTCATGAATATGGCTAAAGAAATCACTGGATGACTTTGCACGTGGAAGAACGCTCGTAAAGCTGGAGGAGGAGCATAGTGTCACCAGTGTAGCTCAAGAGTTAGGAATCAACAAAAGTGTCGTTTTGCGTACTTGGAAAACCTTACAAACAATAGATACAGTTTTTAGAAAGGTTGGTGGTTGCCACTGCAGGAAAGCAACTGCTGTGGATGACCGATATATCGTCCTGAAGGCAAAAACAGCCTGAAACCAGACAGCAAGCGCCATAGCTCAACAAGTGTGTACAGCAATGGGGCGACAAGTGTTGCGTTAAATGTGTCCAGACGTCTCCGCATCCAGATGCAGAAGGTAGCCTTTTGCAGAAGGTCCACTGTTTCGAATGCTGCATCCATTTGAAAGTTGGCCATCGGCACCACCGTTTAGAGTGATGCAAGGAGCACAAACTTGGACATCTCATCAATGGAGTTTTGTCCTCTTTACGAATGAGAGTAGTTTTAGTGCTACAAGAGATTCTCAACGCCAGTTGATTTGAAGAGAGGTCGGGACACGATTTCATCCCAGCAACATCACGGAAAGAGATCATTAGGATGGTCCTGGAGTTCTTGTCTGGAGAAGCATTATGCTGCACAGGCGGACAGAGCTCCACGTTTTTGACAGAGGTTCTGTAACCAGAGATCACTATTGTCAGGAGGTAATCCTTCCCCATGTGCGTCTCTTCCGAAGTGCCATTGGAGCAGATTTCGTTTTTATGGATGACAATACACGGCCACACGGACTCTGTTTTCAGAAGACTGGAAAATGAAGACACTGGAAGGATTGGCTACCACACTCCTGATTTAAAATCCCGTAGAACATGAGTGGGATGCTTTAGGGAGATCCTTGCGGACGATTACATCCTCGGGAACACCCAACAACGGAACAGACGCTGATTGAGGAATGGACATTCTTACTCATGATTTGTTGGACAATATGTGCTGGGTATGAAGGACGGTGCAAAGCAAACCTGCAGTACAGGAGGGCGTATCTCATACTAAGGAACATCTGCTTGTTGTTCTTCCTCTTGCGCAGACAAACGTGTAACGATACTATGAGTTCAATAAAGCCTTTTTTTGTTTGATTCCATACTGTATGCATTGGATTCATTTTTGAGCTACTATTATTTTGTCATCGTTTAAATACAAAATGCTGTCTCTCATTTCTGAATTTCATGTCTCTCATTGATTATTTGTGGATTTATGGCCAAAAGAACACCTGTTGATTAAGTTTTTTGCACACCAGTGTATTTGAAACATTATTTGTAAGAGGTTTAATATAAAAATGCATATATGATACATTTTTATTATAAGATGGGATGTGACCAAAACTGTCATACCCTTAAAGCTTAGTTTATTTTGTTAAAGGCTTCATGTTAAACTAAGTGCTATGAAATAGATATATCATACATAGAATTCTCACTTTTATGGTAAAAAGTGAAGAATCTATACAGGTACAGTAAAGTTTCAATTCGACAAAACTAAAGAGACAAACTTTAAAATATAAAATACAAATATTGAAAATTCGACTTTTTAATTAGTTTTAATTTCAAATACTATGTTTCAATGTTCCTTTGAAGCATAGACTTCTAAATTAGTGCATAGTATTCCTAGTTCGAATTCCTACTTCTGAAAACCATTCCATTGAAAATTTCAACTTACTGAAGTTCAAGTTAACAAAGTTTTAGTACATATCCATATTACAATAATTTAGTAATCATGAAAAACAATATATTTGGAATAATGGTTGCAGACTGAATAATGTAAGATTAAAACCTGTCAGCTTAATTTTCAGCTTTCTATGACAACTACTCAGTGAAATGTTTAAAAATGCAGAATTGTTTTGACACCTCACATTTCAACACAAATCTAGTGTCACTAATCTAAAAATCTAACACTTAACTAATCTATTTAATCTTCCCAAAGCACAGGGAAATCATCATTTCATCTTTAGCTTAGATTCCAAGAATGTTAAAGAAATACAATGGTAGTAAATGCAACTGAGCATACATTTGCATTATCGCTTAATGGTTTACAAAGTAATGTGTTAACAAAACTTGAACTCTGCTTTTACGCGCGTGCCAATATCATACATTTTAATAATTTATAAACTGAATAGAAAACTACAGACTAAGTGGCACCCACCAACAGGGTAAAGACCACTGTACACTGCGCCAAAAAAAAGGGGAGACAGTTCTATATTTCCCGTTCTACTGGGCCGATTTTAACCTGCAATTTTCCCGTCTCGAAAGCGTGACTTAGGATATGTATTAGATTTATATACAGCATTGTTCCAATATAGGTATTTTGACACAAAATCGGACTTTTTCTGAAATAACATACCAATTTTTCCATATTTCAATTCTACAACTCAAATTACGCCAAGCTACCAAGTTTTTGTAAAAATCGCATGAGTGGTTTTTTTTAAAAAATTAGCTCTAAAAAATTTAGCTCTCAATGTTAATTGAGTTTGGTATATATTTACTAATCTCTCTTTTTTATTACGCTTATTTGATTCTTCCTTTCACATTTTGAAATTCAGGTTCATTCCAAATAAAATTCACCCATTTTTTACGATTTATTTTTAATTTGTATTTTTAAATAATTTTTACAAATTTTCCAAAATAAATTTTGAATTATAATTTATAAAATTTTTACCATCATCTTAAAGTAGACATATTTTCTAAGCACACCTGCAAAAAAATTACAATTTTTTATTCAAAATTTCTGAAGATATGTGTGAATTTATATAACAGCACGTTTTGAAATTTGGCATATTTGTTGAAAGCGATAAAACATCAGATGTGTCACTTTGCTAAAATTATTTGGAAGTAGAAATGATGTGACCTTTTTTTCACTCATGCACAATGTAAAAAGATAGGAATGAGGTGCCCCCCCCTTTTTTTTTTTGCTTCGTCATAATGGAAGGCAAAGGAAAATTTGTTGCCATATATTAAGAAGTTCACCAAGTCAATTATTCTTGGCCGAACTGAAAAAATTTTGCCAAGATAAATTTTTGAATTCCTTCGTAACTTTTGCACCAAATTTTACAAAAATTTAATATCCAGGCATAATTTTAGAAGAATCAAAATATGGAAAAAATTGCTATGTTATTTCAGAAAAAGTCCGATTCTGTGTCAAAATACCTACGTTAGAACTATGCTATATATAAATCTAATATATATCCTATGTCGCTCTTTCGAAACGTGAAAAAGGCAATTTGAATTTTGTCAATCAGCCCAGTAGAATAAAGAATAACTGTCCCCCCTTTTTTTGTGCAGTATACACTGATAGCTTGTCCCAGGTTCCAACCCCGTGGAAGCATCACTTTCCTTGTGCAGACAGCTCTTAGGTGCTTTGCCATATTTAAATAACTTAACTAAATCTAAGATACACACCAATGAAATTTTGGAAAAGAAAGCAGAAAATCAAAAAATATTAATTTTTTTAATACAGAGCAAAGCTTGGATTTCTAAATTATTGTAGATTTGAATATTCTTAATTTGTGTATTTACTAAGAAGTGTCTATACACATGTAATAATGAATTTTAGCTCTTTAAATAATCCTCTTGCTGTATTTATTTGGAATTAACAATAAAACGATATTCTAATTTCTAACTTTTACTCGCACTTGCATGTAGTATTCCAAGCCATATTAATAGTTTGGCATTCATGCTAGAGTATTAATTCACAAACTAACAAAAATATTTAAAAAGTTACATATTTCTTAATATCTGCTGTTATGAGCTCTTCTGAATAGCTTGAGATAGCAAATAGTAATTAACCAATTTAAATTTATTTTAATTATACAATAAAGCTCTTAAATTGATTATAAAATAAGTTTAATTCACTTATCATTAATCAATATAGTTTCAGTTCATAAATACTTATATCTCTTTTTTAAATGCATTATTCTAATGAGTGTGCCCTCCATAAACAGACTATCAATAGTTGATTGCAATGGACAAACTAAACATCTATTGTGAACTCTGAAATCTCTCATATATATTTCTGTGGCATAGTAACTTGCCGCTTTTCTTTGTGTATCGTACTCCAAGGAAAAATTCTTGGAAAAACATGATGGATACAAAGCAATGTCTTCTGAAAAAGAGCAAGGCATGTAATGCTGTTCACATTTCATTTGATATTATTCATATAAGCTATCAGTTGCATTTAGAGAATCCTATACACGCTTTATGATGGTTTTATATGTTTCTTATTTGCTTAGTTTCTTGAAAAAGACATTTAAGAAAACTGAAATTCTGAAATTTTCTGGTTACGCTTTTTGGTTAGTTGAATACTAAATAGTTGGGTTTTTATGGTACATGTAATTTAAAACATACACATATATAAATACCTGCATAAATAATGGGCTCAGAGTCAGGTCCTCGGAAAAACAGAATGGCAGGAAATGCAAATACTCCATATTTTTTGGCAAAGCTACTATCATCAATTTTCACCACATGAATTCCTTCGGCTTCAGCTTCATCATCTATTTTCTCTAGTTCTTCTAATACTTTGGGACAAGTTTTGCAGCCAGCTTTTGCATCTAAGAAAGTACAGTAATTTCAAAAGTATAACTAAAATGGGGAAAAAGAGAGAGTTCTGTAACTGAATTGAATGAGATTCAATGGTACCTCTAAATACTTACAAAAGAAAACTGCAACATAATCAAATCTCTGCAGAACTCTTTCAAGAGTCCTTCTATTAACTTTTTCAATGATATCACTAACAGCCATATTTTCTGGACTAGTAAGAAATTCTAACACTTCATCCTCATCTTTTAGTTTTCCTGCACAATGGAAAAGTGTTGGCAGTGACACCGATAATTTTATAATTAAAAAATATAAAATTCATATTTTATGCCTTCTAAAAAAAAAAAAAAAAATTATTTAAAAGAATTATAAACATGCCTTGATATTTAAGAGGATTCCCATTTCGAAAGAAAATGAGACCAGGAGGATTTTTTATCCCATGCTTTTTAGCCATCAGCTTATCAGACATCTTAACAAGATGCACATCATATTCACTACAGTCGTCATCTATTTTTTCCAAGTGATGAGCAACATCTTCACTTTCTTTGTCATTTTCTGCATCTGTAACAAAATTTCATAAAAAAATATTTGCAATATATTACAGATGTATGCTAATGTGATTTGCATACCGCATTTTGATTTAACAGGATTCATAACCACATTTTAGTTAAAAAAATAAGCACTTATAAGCACTTTCAAGCACATTTTAAGATAAAAATAAGCACATATCTAATTACATTATACACAACTGCATAACCTTAAAAGAAAAATTAGACTTGTAATTTAAAATGTGAGAAATTCAGTATTTATTAAGAGAGAATGTAGTCTACAATGAAAGAGAAAAAAACTATGCAGAACTAATTATATTCAGATTTAATGATGAAATTTCAGTTTCAAAATAGAGAAAAAACAATAATAGGCTATTATTATACTTGCTTGGCACTAAAATAAATACAATTTATTTTTCCACTCATATAATATTAAATAATTTACTTCATTCTGACATTTTCTAAATTTTCATTGTATCACAGTTTTCCCTTAACAGATATTGCAAGCAAATGAATTTAAGTAAAAATAAGTAAAAAAAAAAAAAAAAAAAAAAAAAAAAGGAACTTTTCTGAAACCAGAAGACGGGAAATTGCTTCATGCAGTCATCCTTTAACAGTAAAAGTTTAACTAACTGGCATACTCGGAAATTGCCGAGTATCTGAAAATTCCAGATAGTCAAGTGTAACTAGTAAAAATGGAAGAGGAATAGACTGCAGTTGTTCTTTAGATTTTTCAGCTAAATAATGCTTTTGACATTTCGATATGTGCATTATATAAAAAATAGCCCAAATGGAACTGAAAAATAATCTACTTAGTAAGCCCAGTAAAACTCCTTTATCTCTGCGAAATATCGCAAGCATTATTGCACAATACATGCACCTTAATTCTTCTGCACATGATATTATGCAATCGGAATCAACAGCTGCTGGGATTAGGAGAATAAATAACTAAATAAAGGAAAACACCCCTTTGCTTTGTCTGGTTTTCACTGTCATGCAACCATGTGGCGTACTTATCATTGAGCAGGACGCTCTGTGCGATATCCCTGCCATACTCATATTGATTAATAAAGAGATTTATCAATCTGGTGTGTTTTCCATTCTAATTTTGAAGACTGCATTAAATTTCTTGGAATGGAATCATTCTTCGCTTGGGTTGGTAGACCGCAGAACTTTTAGTCCTTTTCAATCCAGGTTGAAAAGTGACCAAAAAAAAAAAAAAAAAGGTCCGTTGCTTGCTTTGCTGTGAACAGTTTCAACATTCAAGATTTTGAGAAAGGAGAGAACCCCCAACTTCCGTACTGTATAATGCATTAGCCCCCCCCCAAAAAAAGAATATTCAATTACTTTCACTATGCCATTCCGAATATTATTCCTTAGAAAAATAATCTGTGTTAGACCACACTTACACATTTTTTAAGTTTATCTATACTTCAGCAGTTACTGCAAATATATTATTATAAATATTCATACATATGCTCATAATATAAGCATACCAATCGTAATAAACACGAATGTGAACTGACCATGCATAATGAGAATGTAAATTAAAATCCTGATAGAAATTTAAACGCATGTAGTATTGGGTGGGAGCAAAAGAATACGGAATGTACTGGAATTTTCTACTGCTTTCGCAATTCTTTGACCAATAGAACGACGTACACCTGTCTGTACTCGCATGCACCAAAGGTTATGTTAATGCAGAGAAAGGGGCGAAAAGCTATTTCTGGGAGTATGATTCACCATCTGACATTCCATATAAGGAAGAAAAATGCTAATTTAGTTTTGGCTTTGGTACAGGGGAAAAAATGTACATTCGTTAAAAAAAAAGGGGGGGCACTAAATGCAAAAAAATTAGCACTAAAAACAAAAGCAATAAGTGCTTTAGAGAAAAAGGAAGCACCTATAAGCGCTTTTATATTTTATTTTCAATTATAAGAACTTATAAGCACTTGTAAGGACCGTTACAAACCCTGTTTAAACTACAAAAAACACACAAAATGCATTTTTAGAGAAATTTAATATTTGTCTGAAACTGTTGTTCAAATCTCTCTCTCTACATTACAGTTATAATGACAGTATACAAGAAAAGAAACATTACATATTATCAGACTAATACAATCTTTCATCACTCACAGAAAAATACAGCAAGAAATTCCTGATCTTCAATTAATTTGAATAACATTTCTCGATTGATGTTTTCTATAGTATCTTCATTTTTTGGTTTCATAAGCCACTCTAAAACTCCATCTGAATTCATCATATCACCTGCAAATACATATTCTTTAAGCATAAATATATTTTCTTTAATTTCATATAACATATATCAAAGACAGAATTAAAGCATATAAAATTTAAAGAAAAACAATTAAATTAATATTTAATACAAAAATAATAATAGTAATGTTTATTTTTAAAATCATATTTTTTTAATTTATTTGATTCAAAATATTTCATACATATAAATTCATATTCATAAATTATGAAAGTAAAGCACACAATCATTTCACATACCCATGCATTTAAAATGAAACATTAAAACATTAAACTATTCTGCTGCCACAGGAGCCATTAGTATTTTTTAAAATTAAATCTTCTATAATAGTATTATTTCAATTAAACATAGAGAAAAATGAGCACTTTTTAATTTTATCACTTTTTCTGATTCTAGCAGCTAAATCACAAATTAATGGTAGTTTCATATGAAATTTAATGCAAAAAGGCTGGTTGTATTGAGTTTCGTGATTTTGCTATGTGAAACATAAAAATACAGCAACACTTCACTTTTACAAGATAACTTGTTGCCTAGAGCAAGCTATAAAAAATGCATATTTGTGAAATAAAGTTTTAATCCAAATTTTGTGATAATATTATTCCATTTGGCAATAAAATATGGATAAGGAAATATTTACCAAAATATTCTCAGCTTAGGACATTCCATTCACATATCTGAGTAAGATTAATTACTTATCTTAAAAAAGGACATATAGTAATAGATTTTTCATGTTAATGAAATTAAGCTTCTTCATAATTTAATTATATGATTTTAATTCTCCGTAACTTTTAACACTGTAGAAGAAGTAATAAGTTACAGCAAATATTTTTTGAAGCTTTTAAATTAATTTTATAAAGTAAAACATGTTAATTGGCTTAGAATGCTTAGTAATAACACAGCCTATGAATATTAATGATAAAGCAAGAATGCTTAGTAATAACACAGCCTATGAATATTAACAATAAAGCAATTATCTAGCATATGCAAGTATACTAGTTTGGGATTTTTTTTCCAAAATCATTCCTTAGTCATCAGAAATGCTACTTTTGAAAGAAAAAAAAAAAAAAAAAAAACAGACTAAACAGATATGATGATACTATGCTAATTCCCTCTACAAGGTATTTTTGTCATACATATTTTGTTGGAATGAAAGAATTTTGCATTTTGTTCATGAAAATAGAAATACATTTTAGATGTAGAATCTTTGAAATAAAACATGATGATCAAAAAATAAAATTCTCTCACTTACACTACAGTAAATTCATATCTGCTGTACATGAAAATAACAGAATAATTATATAAGAGTTTATAATTATAGGATCAAATATTGCGAATTATATTTATTATACGAATTTTGCTAATTTTCAACACTAAAACATTTTATCTTTCAAGCAATTTGAATGAGTTATAACAGATACTAATTTCTTTCATATGATTTTGTACTCAACTAATTACTATAAAATCGAAATTTATAATAACACAAATGACTAACGATACCACAATACTAATCATTAAATTTAATGCTACAATTTACTTAATAAAATCTACAGCAAAATTTTGAAAATGTACCTTACAATTTTCATTTTGATTTATTTACTTCTTTGAAATGAGTTTCATACCTGCAAATATGCTCGGTATTTGATGCTCAAAGTAAACAAGGCTTGGAAATTCAATGACACCAAGTTCTTCAGCAAGTCTCACGTCATCCGTTTTCACAAAATGTATCCCATGGCGATCAGTATCATCATCAATTTTTTCTAGCTCATGAATAATAACCTCACATTCAGAGCACCCTTTTTCATCTGAAGAAACATTCAACATTTGTAAGTTTGTAAAAATGTACTTAATTAGATTTATAACATTTTAACATTTAGGCTATAACATCCTACAGATTTAAATAACAAATTGAAGTAGCACATAAAAATATAATAAATATATGAAAATTAAAAAATACAACAGATAAATAAAACTTCATTACTTACAGAAATAAACTACTATGTGATCAACGTCATCCAAAAGAACATCCAACATCTTTTTATCAACATACTCAATAACATCATCCTTTTTCTGTTTGTTTTCAATAAGCCATTTTAAAGCCTTGTCTTCATCTATTAAGTCACCTTTAAATATGAAAGCATATTTCGCACTTTAAAACTTGAAAACATTTCAAATGTAATGGCATTTTGAAACAT